TAGGCACTTGTGTTAAGAAAGAAATAAAGTAGTCGAAGCCTACCTTCCTTGCCAGTAGTTAGGCAAAGACTACTATGAATCCAATCCCCAAAGTATAGCAATTGATGCTGTCCTCCTCACATTCCCACTTGTGCATCCTCACCAGCTGCCAACCGGCGCTCTCCCCCACTAGCCACCCAACACTGGGTCAGAGCTTACGTGTTCAAAGGACTGGGTACTCAAACCAGCCCCCGCAGCCCTTCTTTGACCCTAGGTATCCTGTGCAAGGTCAGACCCCCAGGTTGGAAGAATACCATTCTTTAGCGTGTCAAACAGGTAGACACCAGCCCTGAGGTTTTATGGGGTTCAAATGACACCCCGCCCTTCTGATCCTTTAGCCATAAATCCGGTACTGATTTCCCACTGCTCCTTTAAGATGCCAGCTACAAACTTGTGAGTCCACGTAGCACCCTCACTTTCTGACCTTGACCACTCTGGGATCAGTAAATCACTGGAATGACTCGCAGAATCTCACGGTGTATACCATATTCTGGCTTCAGAGTATTGTAACTAATAGGAATCTAAACGAAGAAATAAATCAGGTGAAGTCAGGGAGGGTCCCCAACACATGCTTTCATGCCTCTAAAGATGTGCGGCTCTCTCCAAAGAGCAGATTTTCTCAGGAAGCATATCTGAACCTGAGGATTGTAGATCAGCCAGTTCAGGTGGCCATGATAGATTGAATCATGTCTCCTGACCCCAGTCAATGTCAGGCCAATATCAGACCACCAAGTGTTTCCTCCAGGGCTAGTTAGCGCCCACTCACAGCCTCAGATGGTCTCTTAAGAAAACAAAAAACAACCTCACTACGGGCAAGTCAACTCTGACCCAGAAAAGAGGCCAAATTGCTTTCTGCAACTCACAGCATTGCTCTAAATACTCTGTATAAATATAACTTTATGTCGACTATGGCATGGACCCAATTTTAACTCTATTTTACAGAAAACTAAGCCACAGAGAAATTAAATAATTTTCTTAAGGACACACAATTACAACAGACACCAGGATTATTTTTTATCAAAAAAGATCATAGTACTTGATACCTCTGCTTATAGAATTCAAGATGCTATTTCTTGATATCCTAGCTAGCCTTGAAAAACCCTATAGAGCTCTGGTGTACTCCGTAACAAATGGAGCTAGTGTGGGTGGGAATCTCCTTGATGGCTACAGGTGAGATTTTTAGTTTATGTTGGATGGGAGTCGCCGCTAGGTTGTGCAAAGTGTTAAACATTTGGTTACTAGCTGAAGGGCTGGCTAATGTACCCAGAGGACTCAAAGGAAAAGCCTGACACTGCTTCCCAAAGGTCACGGCCATTACAAACCCTGTGGAGCACAGTTCTAATCCGAAACATATTGGGGGGTGGACTGGGGGTGGGGTGTCTATGAGTCAGAACTGATTTGACAGCAACTGACTTTTTGTATTCGATGATAACAAGGACTATTATTATTTTTAACACATAACATTAATTAGGTAAAGAATGACTATTTTTAGAGCTATGTATTGAAGTACATAGAAGTAAAATGTATTGGGTTATTTATTTAACACAGGAAAAAAGGAACATGATGTTCAAGAGTCTTTGATGTTGAGGCACATTACGCTCCACTCTGTCCCCATGCTATCATATACTGTATTCAATTTTAGTATTTTTCTGGATTACTTTTGATACCAGTTACCAGCCCATCTTTAAAAAAAATTCTTTCATGCTTGGGGGACACAAGTAAATGTACCATTAGTTTTCTCCTCCTGCATTATATCAAGGTAGCATCTACAGAGGGGCACCTTCTATCAGGGATGCTTGTACGTCTTTTAGTCCTGGTGGTAGAAGATCCTGTGAGACATAATTAATTATGTAATATGGCCCTTCAAGCCATATATTTGTAACTCCCACCATGTGAAACACTAATAGAGGGGATTGGTCAGTTTTGCTGTTTGAGTATAAAAGTGAACTACCACAGAAGCAGAGACAGGAATCCCAACCACCAAGAAAGAAGAGCCACCAGCAGAGCAAGGGGAGATCCCCCTGAAGGGTTGGAGGCAACAGAGGTAATAGCACCAGCACTGTGAGGCAGAGTGGCAGGAAGGCTACGAAGGCAGAGGCCAAGGGGCAGACCCATGTGCCTAAGAAGCCAAGGGTGAGAGAGAGATGCCTGCCAGCACGGCTTTGAAAAGGCACTGCAGAAAAAGATCTGTATCCTTCCCGTTTTGTTAGCTTCCCTAGTTGCGTCACAATCCTGAGTATCATCTGTGAGTTCTGTGTGGCCATTGCAACAATTATCAAGCCCAACCGAGAAGTCGAGTGCCATGGGAGGAATGATTGATGTTAGAACAGGGTAAAGAAGGATGGTGGGTGGGGTTTGGGGGTGGAGACACATCTGATCTCTGCCTTGTGGCAGTCAGTCTTAAGCTGGTATGAAGTTAGACTCTCCTCCCTTGTGTAGCCAGAGAAGATCAGACATGGCTTCCATCATATTTCCTCACCCTGGTCTTTGGACTTGGTCCTATGCCTCGGTAGCTATGAAATTTAGGCCCGTTGGTTTAATCTTGGGATTGTTTAAAATAACTTGAAGAACATTATATGGCAAACTAGACTTTTCAAATGTGAACCCAATTCCTAGAAATGATAGCCCAGGCGGCTCCTCTAAAGGTTTTTACAGAAAGTTTTCTAGCACAAATGCTCAAGATGGGATGGTTGAAATATAAAAGCTGATTTTTCTCTGCCACTTGAAATAATGAAGTACAAGATATGTGACCATTTGGTGTGGAGGATGTTGGAGAAACATGTAGACTATGTGACTCCAGACTTGAAAATTATTTCTGAACCTCTCCAGAGTAAAAGGGGTGTTGAAATAGACTCATCAAGTGAAGAGCATTCACTGGGCCTCAGTGACAAGAACATGGCTTTTCTATCTCTTGATCTTATTTATCCTAGGAGTCTCTCTTTTTTAAGACAATCCATCCCTCTGACAAAACCCAGGTGATGTAGGTTACCAGTTGGGCTGCTAACTACAAAGCCAGTAATTTGAGGCCACCTGTTGCCCCATGGGAGAAAGATGAGGCTTTCTGATCCTGTAAAGATTTACAGCCCCAGAAACACAAAGGGACACTTCTACTCTTTTTTTTAAAATTAATTTTATTAGGGCACATACAACTCATCACAATCCATACATACATCCCTTGTGTCAAGCACATTTGTACATATGTTGCCATCATCATTCTCAAAACATTTTCTTTCTGCTTGACCCCTTGATATCAGCTCCTCATTTTTCCCCTCCTTCCTCACCCCCCCATGAACCCTTGATAATTTATAAATTATTATTATTTTGTCATGTCTTACACTGTCTGACATCTCCCTTCACCCACTTTTCTGTTGTCCGTCCCCCAGGGAGGGGGTTATATGTAGATCCTTATAATCGCCACTTGTATTTTTTATTTAGCTAACTATTTGAATGCTTGTGCACAATACCCACATTGGCACTGAAATGTAAGTATGTGTTTGCCTGGCTTTGCTGCCTATGAATCCATATTTTTCACAAATAAAAGATGATGTTCCAACATGTCTACTTATCAGGGAAGCCCTACACTTATGAATCTCTTCAATAAATTGTACGCAAACTTGGAGGTTAAGTATAATGCTCTTCTGCCAAAAGCCCTTACTGAGGGAAAGCCAGCCTAGCGGGAGTTGCAGTGACAGAAACCAGTGCACGTCCGGCCTCTCTTCAAGCAGGAAAGCGGGTGCTCTGAACACCAGCCCTGCTCTGCTGCCCCAGATGCAGCTGAGACATTTTTTGGTGACTTTCCCTTAGTGTATTCATGCATGCAAGGTTTTCCTAATAGGAATTGCAAATGTTAAACACTTTTTAAACCTTAGAAAGATCTAAAACAAATGAAAAGGGAGTAGTAGTTTCTAGTAAAACAATGGCAGCAACAGCAAATGCTGGTCAGGTTGGATTTGAAGACCCTAGGGCCGAGTTTTAAGCTCTTCTCTAGCATTTTCTACTCACATAGCTTGACATGAATTATCTATAAGGTTCTTACAGTGCTGTCTATAAATATGTAGAAAGACATTTACAACAGCAATAAATTAGAGGAGAGGTTTTATTTTGCATAATTTAAAACTTAAGATGCTAGGGTACAGTGCTGAAGAGAAGACATTGAAGGGAGTAAGATTTTTTAAAACCTGATCTTAAGGTAGCTACACATTTTTTAGGGTATATAACTCACTTGCATGGATCTGTAATACAGATCACGTTGTGTGCCATATGGCTACCATAGTAAGGTATCAGAGCTGTATGTTTTTTTTTTGTTTTTCATTAAAAAAGAAAACTTTTGTCACAGGAAGTCCAGAATATTTAAGTACATAGGATAACACAATGAATTTGTGCACCTAACATCTGGCCCCCAAAACCATTTACCGAGGGCCAAACTTACCCTATTGGTAGTCATATTAAGGTCTCCCTCAATATTCTTTTGAATAAAATATTAGATATATCATTTCATCCATATATATTTTAAATGAATCTCTAAGAGCTAAGGGTGTTTTACTTAAGTCATTAGTACTCAGCATTGACTGCAACTCAGAAATCATTTTTTTCCCGCAATTTCATAGAAAAATTCAGTTAGGTTTAAATTTAAAGTTTCATGAATGTTATAAATATTTGAGAGCCAGAATCAAAATAAAGTATATACAATCGCTTGATGTGTAGACTTTTTAACGTATAGATATATCCTCTCCCCAACGCTCTACTTCCTGCATCGTTTGACTACATTACAGTACCACACCAAACTCATAGATGATACTCCCAATTATGGGGCCTATGAGGGTACAATTGAGAATCAGAAATGCTCAGGATACACTTTTTCAGTCAGGATAGTCTCTCCTTAGCCATGTCCATTAAAAGATCCATTAATAGAATCTATTTAGCTATAATTCCTTATGTGATGTATTATGATTCTGGACACTATGCCTGTGACTATAAACCCATTTTGTGGGGAGTTTCTTGCTACACTAATGGACAGGATTAAGGTGGGATTAAGTCCTGACCTTAGTAGAGGATGTGAACCAAGTTACACTTTGTTTCCTTGGGGGATATGGTCTGCTAAAAGAAAAAGAAAAATCACTCCAAGTCACTCCTCTGCATGTAAGAGTCCTCATGGACACAATCCTCAGGACCTTCAGAAGAGGAGCAGGGTCCAGATCTGTGTGAAGTGGCAGAGACCAAGACCAGAGTCACTGAAGACTGTGAAACAGAGACTATGTGACAGAGCAAAAGAGTCCAGCAGAAATCAGTGGTGGAGGCAAGGAAACCACGAGACAGAGTAGAGGAGTGGGCCTGAGACTATGTGACTGAGGCCGACTGACAAGCAGGCTTCCTGGTCCAGAGAGGCAGATGCCAAGGACCATAGGCTGAAAGTCTGCAGACTTGGCTGCAGGCCGAGGAGGAGAAGTGTTGCTGATCCTGACTTGTAATAAACTATTAACTTCCCTAATAAGCTCCTGTAATTGTGAACTTTGTCTGTGAGTTCTGTGTGGTCATTGCAATGGATTACAGAACCCAGTAGAGAGAGGTTGATATCAAAACAAGTAAAGAAAGATGGAGAGTGGAGGCATGCCTTACCTCTACATCATGGCAATAGGGATACCAGAGGAGATCAGATATGGCTTCTGAGCCATTTTATGCACCCAAGACATGGCTCTGGCTCTCAGTGGCCTCAACCCCTCTGCCACGTAGCCCCTTGGCCTCTGTTGGGCTTGAGCCGTGTGGCAAAGCTTCTTTAGTGCTGCCAGTAAATGCCCAAAGGACACTTCACTCTGCTGTAAGCCTTAGCCCTAGGGTACTCAACTTTACCTCTGTGGATCAACAAACTTATCTCCCCTGATTCAGTGCTTGGAGGCACCCCACTCCACCAGTTAGCTTTCTGTCCCAAGGCACTCCGCTTTCTTGCTCCGCACAGAGGTCTCATGCTTTCGCTCTTCTGGTGCTGCTCCGCCGCCGCTATCACAGCTTTGGTTTCTGGACCAGGGAAGTTCAGCTTGCAAGGATCCTGAGGTCCAAATGACATGCTCCATTCCTGACTCCTCTTAATGGTAGTAAGCACCACCTTCCTTCCTTCTCCTGAAATGGTGCACGTTTATCCTAGTGGGATGGCAAACCTGTGCAAGTCCTACATTAAGTTTGCATGCACTCTGTTTGCATGGTCTCATCCAGTCTTTGGTTAAAGTTAACAGTGACTATGGCTAGAAGAGCCTTATCAAGTATTTCACTGCACCACAGCATTTTTCAAAGCTATGATTTTTTTTTTTTTGAAATAGATTTCCAGGTCTGTCTTACAGTGAGCCTCTGGGTAGCTTTGAACTACCATCTTTTTGGTTAGCAGTTGAGTGCTTAGCCATTTGTTCATTAAATTCTGAAAAATGGGGGTTTTAAAGTATTCTGGGTAGGATGATTTCCAAAAGCTTTATAGCTAGATTTACAATCCACTAAGCCTTGAGATTTCTTTTTAAAATTGGTAAGTAAAGATAGATAAGTAGAAGATGCTTAGTTTTTGTTGAAATCATGAAAAGAAAAAAAGTGGGGACAGAAAATCAGTCATTAAAGGGATGAGGAAATTAAAATTATAATCAATAGTTGGAAGCCAGATTATATGTGGATTCTATATTTTAATGTCCTTTGGGAAAATACCTATATTTTAATGTCCTTTGGAAAAAATTGCTAAGTCATACAATAAGTATCTCATGGTGCAGTGGTTAAGCATTCAGCTACTAACTCAAAGGTCAGCGGTTTGAGCCCACCAGCTTCTCTGCATAAGAAAGATGTGGAAATTCTGCTTCTATAAAGGTTTACAGCCTTGGAAGTCCTGTCTGGAAATTCTGCTTTGTCTTTCAGGGTCACACTGAGTTAGAATCAACCTGATGGCAATGGGTTTGGGTTTATTTGGGTTCATATATCTAGAGTTTTTACTATTTTCTGTTTCTACCAGCAATCTTGAGAGTTCTAGTCGTCCCGCATCTAGATAAAAGTTCTTATTGGCAGTGTTTTTTTTAGCCAATCAGTAAATAGTAATATCCCACTGTGGCTGTAGGGATCCCTGGTAGTGTAGTGTTTACTCATTGGGCTGCGATCCTCATGGTCAGCAGTTCAAACCACGTTCCAAACCGCCAGCTGCTTCATGGCAGAAAGATGGCTCCACCCCACAAACAGTTCTAGTCTTGGGACCTCACAGGCAGATCTACCCTGTTCTAGAGGCTCACTATGAGTTAGCATCGAGTCAGTGGCAGTAGCTTTGACTATTGTGGTTTTATTTTTGCATTTCATTTGTAATTAATAATATTGATCATCCCTACTTGCGATAGAAGTGTCTGCTCACATCTTTTGCCCTTCTCAGTATTGTATTGGTTGTCTATTATTGGGCTGTATATTTTTTATGTAGTCGGCATACTCAAGCCAATTGGGTTGTTGAGAATAAATTAGATTTGCCTTTAACAATTTGTATACAAATTGTTGTCAGCATACTCATTCATCATTTCTGTTCCATTTGTTCCGTTTCCATTGATCAAGTTTCCCTTCCCCTCCTTGCCTTCTCACCTGGTCTCATGTAGTTCATTGTAAGGGGAGCACATCACTCATGCATGCTTCTGTTTATAAGTCAGGTTATTATTAAACTGAAGGGTGTCCTACAGAAATCACTTTAACCCATGTCTAAAGGCTTTTTTTCAGGCAGTAGTCTTGGGAGTGCTTCTAGTGTCTAATGGTCCAATAGGGCTTTCTCTGCCCTTCTTCTTTCCTCCTCCTCCTCCCTTACCTTCTCAGCCATCACCTGTTAATACCAAGTTAAGGAACTATTACTTAACTATTATAAAGTTTATCAGGCTACTAACAAAAAGTTTCAGTCTGTGTCCCTAAAGATTTACAGATTGGGAAACCCTTGGGACACTTCACCGCTACAGCACACTATGAGTCAGAATTTACTCAGTGAATTTGGTTTTAGTTTTCAGTTGTGATAGAGTTAAATGTATACAAAGTTAGCAACAACATTTATCTTTTACTGAATTTAAAAATCATTAATACTTTTCTGAAACCTAAAGTTTTATATTATTTAATATATTTATCAGGCTTCTAGTTTACCAAAATGGCACAATGTTTTATTGAACTGTGGTTTTGTGATTTTATTTAGTTATATGAAAATTTAAAAGACATCCACTCCTACTTAACAAATTTGGTTAGTATTGAAGAATGTAAGACAAGTCTAATTCCATTTACAGGGATTTCCCACTACAGTTTGTAAATGTCATTAATTCTTATATGCGTATATAAATACATATATATACCTATATTACATGTTCATATAAACATAAGCTTATTATGAACTATACATATGTAATGTTAAATTAAAGCATGCTCTGATGTTATGAAAAATCTTAAATTTATTGTGCATGTTTCCAAGTTAGTACATAAAGAATTATTTTATTCAGTGTGTTGAATCCTTTACTCTGGGGCTGAATCAGTGTATCCATTTGCATGCTGAGGGAGATTTGGATTAATCTTAAATACAAGGGGCCTGCTAAAGTAGGATAGAATTCTGTCGTTTATCTTAAGAATGTGAAAATTGTTAATGAAAAAAATATTTCAAAGTTTAAAGGACAGTACAAATCATATTTTAAGCTTATGAATATTAAAATAGCTCAATGTAGTTTTTCTTTTAAAGGAAGGATCTGAAAATAATGTGTGCATTTTATCTTGGAGATTAGTTTATTCATTATGTTTAATTTTAGGAAATGGTGCTCTTGCAGAGCATTCAGAGAATGTGCGTGTTTCAGGAGTGTCAACTGGTAAGTCATTTTTTGTAATGCTTAAATTTCATGCATGACTTATATATGGTAAATGTTCAGCCACCTGATATCTTATGACATGATATTTGGCTATAAAATTTTACTGCCTTTTGCAGCATGTAATAAGGAGTGAAGCAACTGGGACAAGGAGAAATTCCCATAAGATGAAATTGATACTTGCATGCCCCTGGATTGATTGTATTTTTCTTAACAGGCTGCGTAATTATATTTTCATACAAACATTGAGTCAAGACAAAAGTAAGCTCCAGGCACATTGGTATTTTCTTTTCATAGCTATATATATTTAATGGAGTTTATTCAAAAGAATGTTCAATGCAATTCCTAGCCTGATAGATTTAGAAATTGAGCATTTTGCTTGATTTGTACATTAAAGTATTACCTTACATAAAGCTTTTATTCTTGGGCGTGTAATTACTTGTAATTAAAAACAACCCAACATGTGTGTCCATGAAATTCAAAAACTTGTTGTGGCAAATATATTTTTTTCACTTACCTAAGCTTTTTAAATTTAATTTCCTGAAAAAAACCATACCAAAAAATTTTCTATTTTGAGGTGACTTCCATGTGCATCTTACTATTTTTACCAGAACGGGAGAGACATTTATTCTTGCACATATTGTAATGGAATTTTTTGCTGTTGTTTTATTATTTCCCTAAGTTCATTATAACTTTTGTATAGTTAAAAAATACTGTTCATGTAGCATGTGTTTCCCTTTTTTTGGAGGGGGGGTCATCTTGTGGTTTGTTTATTTTTCTCACAGAAACTAAAGCTGTGAATTTGTTCTTTTGTTTTATTTGACTTTATATTGATAGAATTGATAGACTTAACAAATAATCTAAGGGTTCATGTGCACTAGTCAAGCACATTGACTAACTTGGTTTCCTAAAAATGAAAAGCCATTTCCACAGTACCCTGTGTTAATTTTTCACAATTTTCATATGCTTTCAAGTGTATAGAATTATGTACATCAAGTAGAAATAATGTTATTTTAAGATGATCTTATTTAGTCTTTCTCCCTATTTCTTTCTTTCTTTTTGTTTTGTTTTGTTTGAGGTGGGGAGTATCAAAAAGTTAGTGGAAAAAATGGAATTAAAAGATGAGATTTTTTTGAACTTTTGGAAACTCTTATTTTGAGTAGCTACTAAGAATTATGATTTCCCCCCCACCCCTCCAGGTGTAACTATGAAGTAAGATTGCTTAAAAACATTTTAATGGATTGAACCAAATGATTTTTGTCTAATTCTGTGATACTCAAAGTTTTGGGCCAAAGGCTAACTTTAAAAATTATTGAGGACTCCATAGAGTTTTATGTATGTGTCCTTTTACTCTGTCAATATTTACACTAGAAATCATAACTGAGAACGTGCTTTAACGTGTACTTGGAGATAGTAATAAACTTATTAAATAACAAGTTTGTGAAAAATGTATTTTACAAAACCAAACAATAAGAAGGATAAAAAAAGTAAATTGACTATAACTAGTAAAGGAGGAGAGCAACACTGTTTGATACTGTGCGGTCTTTATGGTTTGGCTTCAAAGAAGAGAGCAGCCCTCTGAGCACCTGGTTTGCAGAAGGCTAAGGATGACAGTGAAAGCCCAGATCCACCTGCAGGGTCCTCACGAGGGAGCCTGCGTGCAGTGTCCTCAGACCATTGACCAGGAGCGTGCATCGTCCTGCTGTCAAACCGAATATATCAGAAAGTGAATCAGTGCAGATGTAATTAGGTTCAGTTTTAGCATGTTATCTATCGTTTGCTTTCCCCTTTGACCCATTTTTTATTTGTAATAGTTTTTATTATTTCCTGTTCTCTTTTGGATTGAGGTTTTTCCATTTTATGTGGGTTTTGATGTTTTTCTTTATATGGAAATCCAGGATAGGTAGAGCTTTTATTATTATTATTATTATTATTATTATTATTATTAAAGTAATCACTTATTGGGGGCCTCTTACAAATCTTATAGCAATCAATCATTCAGTAGTGTTAAGTGCGCTTGGACATATGTTGCCATCAACTTTTCCAAACAGTTTCTTTCTACTTGAGCCCTTTGCATCGGTTCTTCTTTCTCCTCCCCCCCCTCCCCCTAGATTAATAGTTTCTTAAGGCTGTGGGCAGGGAGGTTGGGGGGAAATGGGGAGCCCAAAACAATGAGTACAAAAATGAAAACAAATGTTCTAAAGTTGACTCTGGTGATGATTGCATCACTCTTTAATATATTTAATTCACTGGATGTTATGGTACATCAATTATCTGCCAATAAAACATAAAACAAAAGCAGGATGTTGTTTTGACTGGTGTGTAAGTCAGACTGACTCACCTCAATGTGTAATTGAGAAATGAAGGAGTATTTGAATTCCCTTTTCAGATTCTAGTGAAAATTCTTTGATACACTAAGACTCAATAAGTGGTTTCTTTTACAGGTTGGTTGCATTGTATTAGTGAACCAGTTGGACTCTCTTGAATTCCCATCAATTTTTTACCCCTGCATGATTTTGTAACATGCTTTGGTCATTTGCAGAATGTTGATTGACGTAGTTACTCAGGTTTACATTGAGCATGAGAAATTAGGGAATTTGCACAGATCTTACTTAATTTTAATGTTCACTGAAATTTGAAGCATTTTTCAATTCATCAAGACTACATTTTACCTTTTATTTTTATCTGTTTGCATGCAATTAAATTAATAGGCTCTTGTTAATGAGCATTGCAATTACCCTTAAAGAAATTATTCTTTGGGGGGAAAATCGTGCAACAGTTTTGAAATTTAGCACTTTTGGTTAAAAAAAATGTTTTACATATTTAAATCTTGCCCTTTTTTTCCTACTCCTGAATACTAAACCTTTACTTAGTTATGTGTGTTCTAATTAAATGTATTTTTGTGCCAGTAAAACATTTAATTTCAGAGATCAATGAAACTTTTATGAAGGTTGCTAATTTTCCTGAGGGGAGAGGCTTATAAAATATCCTATATAACGAGAAGGATAAAATTTATAAGTGTATTCTGTTTATACCATTATAAAATAAACATGCTGCACCAAAAGGTGCTTTTGGATACATAGATCCATCAGATTTTCTGTGGCCATTGTGGAGCTACAGAGTATGTAATGTTTGGTAGATGGCATGTGGGTAATTACTACAGAACATGTAATGTTTGGTAGATGGCATGTGGGTAATTACTATTGAACATGTAATGTTTGGTAGATGGTATGTGGCTAATTACTACAGAACATGTAATGTTTGGTTGATAGTATGTGGGTAATTACTACAGAACATGTAATCTTTGGTTGATAGTATGTGGGTAATTACTACAGAACATGTAGTGTTTGTTAGATAGTATGTGGGTATTACTACAGAACATGTAATGTTTGGTTTATAGTATGTGGGTAAATAAAAATAATACTGATAGGGTTCCAGTTCATACACGCCTGGGTGTGGTCCTAACAAAATATGTTTAGACTTGCCTCTGCCCTCAGTGAGTGGTTGCAGGACAGTTCTCAGGAACACACTTGCCTTAGTCTCATTAGGGTGCCTTCCTAAATAAATAAATAGAAATCAAGTACACTTTTTGTGCTGTGAGGGAAAAAATTGAGGCCAGGGCTCCTACCAAATGTTTAACAAGACTCAAGTGGACATTTTCCCAAATCACTGATGCTTTGGAATGAATTTATGGGACTGCTGCCCTACGTAAAGTAGCAATTTTTAGATGGACCAAGCATTTTAAGGAAGGCCCGGAAGATCTTAAGGAGCCACAAGAGGAAAGACAGTCAGCCTTAGGAAATGAAGAAACTGTGGCAAATGTTCAGAAACTGATGAGAAAAGACCATAGAATTACCATCAATAGGGACTGAAGTTGGTACCTCACATGGTTCAACATTTTTAGTTTTCAACCAGTATCTTGGCCTCAGCAAACTTTAGTCTCAGTAGATGCCAAAAGTGTTGTGTGAAGATCAGTTAGCACAAAGGGCTAATCTTTCCATCAGTCTTTCAAGTAATATTAAAACTAATGACGATTTCATGGAACAAATGGTGGGCACTAGTCTTGGATTTTAACATGATCCAGGTAGCAAGGTCCAGTCACAACATCGCTTTCTGAGGGGATGTGCTGAAGCAGTTAGCGACAAGGAGAGGTCAGAGCAGAGGCTATGATGACTGTTGTTTATTCAGTGTCGGAAGGGTGATCTTGATTTTCCTAGATGACAGAACAAGTAGAGAAACACATGAAGAAATGTTAAGAAAATTGAAAACTGGTCACTTGGTTGTGAATCATACCCTAGCCAAAATGGTCAGAGAGCCTCAGTGTAAATCCTGCAAACTTTCCTAATCCACAGTAGTGTGTTAATTCTGACTCATAATGACCCTACATGCAACAGAGCTAGACACTGCCTGCCTGGTCCTGTAACATGCACACAGTTGTTATGTTTGAACTCATTGTTACAGCCACTGTGTCAGTCCATCTGCTTGAGGGTCTGCCTCTTTTTTGTTGACACCTTACCAAGCATGGTACCCTAGTCTTTCCTGATCACATGTCCACAGCAAGAGGAACAAACAGATCAGCCCAAATGCTCCTGAGGAGCGAGATGGATGGATCCTATGTTAAATTCTTTGGACAGCTCCTCTCTGTAGCCCTCATATTCATTTCACTGGTAGGATGGAGGGGGCAGGGTGGGGGTGGTGGTGGCATAAGGTGAAACCAACTTGACAGCAACTAATACCAACAAGATAATGCAAAATGGAAAATAATTGGTATCAGTAACAATCACGATGAAATGTACCCACCTGTACAGAAAAACAAAAAAACTATCTTTAGTTTGTGGAAATAACAGTCATGCAAGGAACAAAAAGAAAAGATAGAACATTGGAAAACGTGTTGGTGAGAAAAGACCAGGAAACATGGGCCAAGGAATGTTTTTTCATCATGACAGTGCACCTACCTGCTCATCTGTAAGGGTAGCAAGGGCTATTCTCTGAGAATTTCATTG